CCTCCATCCTCTTTGAACTGGCTACATCCTCCCTTCTCAGGCTCACTTCAACAAAATGCCCCTTGCAGCAATACTGGTGAAGAAAAAAAAATGGTTTCAAAGACTCAGGAATTACGCTACTGTAACTAAAGGGCACTGGCGCACAGATCTGAATGAAGCACGCGAGGCCCTTCAAGTATGATGCATCATCTCTTTTCCAGTTCTAAGGCGCAGCTGCACCTCGCCTTCCAACCGGTAGCACAAAAAGCTTCCCCGCACAAAAAACTCGCAAGCCCTCTCTCTTCTGAAGCCAGATGGGATCATGACTTTTGATGATGACCTGAGAGCATTCCACTCACTGTTAGTGTACAGACAGCCGCATTAAAATTCGAACAAATGGGGTCCTTCACTCTTCAAACCAGTAAATGAGCGATGTTCGTAGTATGGAACACTTCTGAGTTGGGGGAGAGTTCCCCACTAAAGCTAACCTTCGTAAAAGCAGCGTTTCTTACACCTTACACGGTCCATCCCGATCCGACGCGTTATAGAAGTTCCTCTTGACTTGAAATATTCAGTAAAACTGAATGACGGTTAGCCACACATGCACATATTACGCTCGGACGTTTTTTTTCAAGGCCGCTCACTTAAAGCTTCGTGCTTACACAGACAGGGAAACAATTACCTAACAAAGAGCTCAAGAACCGTCTTCTCCTATATGAATGAACACCGTGCAAAAAAGGGTCGCTTACCTCTTCTACTTTAGGGTCCATGATGAGCGCCATGGAAAAGCAAATCTTCTAGTTTAAAACTGACTAATAATCTGAAAACATTCCCCATATGTATTTAGAAAGATATATTGTTGGCCATTAAAAATTATACAACAGCGCAATCACAAAATGTAATTATGTTTGGAACACATTTGACGAAAAAAAGAACTGCATGGTATATCATTTATTTCAAACATGACAACAAATCAGTAACGACAGTAATAGAGATCCATCAACGCACTTAGAGTACATGTGCGGTCTCTTTCTTGAAACGTAAACAAAGAGGTAAACGCGCCGATGTTTAGAACATATAGTAAAACAATCTTGGGAAGCTGAGAAGACAATCAATAACAATATAACAAGAAAGGATTCAACTCCTACACAAAAAACAATGAGATTAGACATTAAGTTTTTGTGGAATATCATCGAACCATTGCGAGCTTTTCAAATATCTCTTTTTTATCATCAGGCAACTTATCGAATTTTTTCTTCAGCTTTTTCAACCTTGCTTCCGCAGGAAGGTCTGTATACCTGGAAACGAAACTGATTAGCTGCAATGGTGAGAAGCGAAAACGAATTGCTCACTTGTCCTGTTTAGTTGAACAAAACAAATCGAACGCAGTCTTTTCTTCTTTAGCAGATCCGTTAGACTTACTGCCTTTCGCCTTCGGAGTTCGCTGTGATGGAAAACATCTAAAACACAAGAAGTTGGAATTAGTAAATCACGTTGAATTTCCCTGGCTACAAGACCCTCACTCCTTTTTAACACTTGAGTACGAAAACAATACCTCAAACATGAAAAACCAACTACCTTGCGCCGGTGCAGTTTGATCCTGTTTTCGACGAATGCTATTTGTTTCGGTAACAGTACTTCATTGTTATTAGCTAAGAAGAGCTCTAATTTTTCAACAAAAGATTTCTGAAACACGGAGATTCAACAAAAAAAAATTCTGAAAGATGGAGAAACTAGGTAAGATGGAATTACCTCCAGTTCCAACAACTCCTGTTCACATTCTGTTCGCCCGGCGGAGTCCTCTTTCATCCGATCTGCCACCTCCTAAAAATTTTAGATTACGATTGCAATAAATTTTGACTCGTTCATGAACAAGATGGTAAACAATTCGTACTCTATATTTCGCGACTCCTCCTGTATGCCCGAATTTTTTGCAGTAATATTGAATGAGAGATGGAGGTTTTGTAGGAAAGTCTTTGTGCATTAGGACGCTATCAGGCGATCAAGATAGTCGCGACATTTCTGGAATATCAGGTTTTACTTTGAAAGCAATGTTTGTGAGCGATGGAGTCAAATCCTGCAACAAAGTGATATTCGAGACTTTGCAATCCAGCAAATCCTGGATACGAGCGTTGCACCAGCGAATCGAACTATGTACCAGCGGATAACGATGTACCAACGGATCGAACGATGTACAGTGGGCTGAACACGGGGGTCTGAAGTTGTGAGATACCCAACCTTCAAAGGAAATTCCCGCCACCTAAACACAGTGTCCAGGCTGCGGCACATTTCGATCCAGCTGGCCACAGCAGTTCGGCTAGGCTTGGTGCCAATACTCGTATCCAGCGATATCCACTCTGACATCAGCCTAGCGATTTAATACTCCTTGAAAAGAAAACGGGAAGCGTGTGTTCTCACGCAAAAATATGGAAAGATAACTCTTTCCATTGGAAAAGGTTTACTGAGCCAAACAAGTTGGTAGCTCGGTGATACTAACCCCTTCACGTCGATGCGTACTTCGCGTTGATGCCCAAGTGCAAACACGCACTCTTTTGGACCCACTGTTATTCACCATTAGGCAGAAATGTCCCAAAAGACTACTTTTTTGATAGAATTTCGAAATCAGCCGAATAGTATGTGAAACTGCAGCTTGAAAGCTTAAAAATGATAAGTTTTGAACTGAAACTGGATTTTGAAAGCATGGAGGACAGGAATTCTGGTGGGTATGTGTACAAAATGAAAAACCGAAGAAGTCTGACGCCAGTTAATATGCCCGTCCTCCGTCCCTCCATTCCCCCTCCAATCGCCCCCCATGCGACAAATACAACAGATTATTTAAAAGTTTCAAATATGCGAACAAAAAAATGTTGAAATGTCACCAATATTGGGCCACATTGCGGCCAAGGATTGATGACACGCTTTCTTACTTGGCCCCCATCATTTCTTGAAACTACCGATAATGTGAACATCCTGATCATTAGAGACTTGAGAAATCGTGACAGTAAAAGGTGCGCCGCCATCCTCTTGAAGGTATTATGATATCTCGAGTTTTCACGAAGAAAATTCAAATGTTTAAAGAACTAAATGCTTGAGTAGTACAGTGTTTTAAGGTACCGCATGTGAGGGAACTTCATGGAAACTGAAAATATACTGGGAAACGAAGCCTTCACCTGAAACAACTATCTAGAGACATGTTGGTTGGCTTGAGAGATGACGCCAAATATCGCTTGATGGACTTCAATAACATGCTGAAAACTGTAATTTTAATAAAAGGTTAAAAAATGCGTGAGAAAGATGAAGTTCTCGTTCCGATGGTTTGCTAAATGAGTGCTATTAAACCACAAAAGCCTATACATACCTCCGAGATTCAAGGGTCGGGCAATGTGACCAGGAAATTAGACGCACGCATGAAGGATGAGCGTGAAACAGAGAAGAATAAGGAATGAAAAAGGGACCATACAAAGAACTCACAGGTGACGGACTGATACAAATGATATCTTTTGACCAAAGAACGAGAACTCCACAGTAATTTAACAGCCATTCAAAAAAATCAGCCGGCAATGATGACAAAAACTAACTCTGGGTCTGCTGCGCAGGAAGTTTGCTGTCTCATCCAATCATCAAAGACTCCTCTCATCCGCGACCATGGAGTCGACAGCTTCCCCCGTTCTTCCGCAAACTTACGGAAGCTCTGTAATAGCACGTTATAAAAAACAAGTGCTGGGAAAAATTTATCAAACTTCATCGGTCTCAAATTTAGCAAAAAGCCGCCATGTCCCTTAATGGGCTTCCCTTTTTCATTAACATCGCCACCTTTTCCTTTTCATCATTCTTCTAATGTATCTACTAATCTCTACGCTTTACTAAATGAACTTTCTTACTACTCCCTTCCGTAATCTCCAAAACTGTTGGTCTTTTTCACTCCCTCTTGATAAATCCTAAGTGTCATTTTCATCCAATTGTTCATCATTTTGCTCTTAATGCCTTTTCGTTACCCTATCAATCGAGGTTCGTTCTGAACACCATTAGAATTTTTCTTTATTCTTTTTGTCGTTCCTCCCTTTCAGTTTTGCCCTTGCTGAACTGCGCAACATTCTACAACATAATTTTCCATTCAAACCTTTCAGGATGACAGCCCAACAAACTGAAGCAATGTAATAGGTCGAAGAATGAAGGGAACGCTTGTTCGATTGCTTATACGACCACGTAGCA